AGAGAGAGAGAGAGAGAGAGAGAGAGAGAGAGAGAGAGAGCGGGGGGGGGGGCACAGGGCGATGGATGGGGAGGAAGGAGGAAGAAGAGGAGAAGAGAGAACCAGGTTCAGGCCGATTTGTCGAGCTGTATCTCATGCTTCTGAGTTCGGTCGGCGTAACGCACGAAGATTAGCGGCCCTCGTACAGCAAGAACGACTGACCTTGTCCGTGCCCAGTCCGTGGAAGGCGGCCTTCAGGCCCCTGGCGAAATTCTCGATGGGGTCGAATAGGAGCGACAGCAGGGCATCCTCCATCTTCCCAAAGAACTTTTTTTCGATCGTCTTGGCCAGAGAACGTCCGTACTTGTCCTCGTAGGCCTTCCTGATACAGGTCACCTTAGGGTTAAGGTCCAGGTTGGGGACAAGTTCAGGTGAGGAAACGCGTTTATTTATTGAAGTACAAGGTACGATGCGTGGCACAACGTGTCGTTCATACGTAGGCTGCGTTTCGACGGTATCAGCAAGATCTGCGAGGCGAGAACAATTTAAGAGAGAGTGGGAGAGAGAGAGAGAGAGAGAGAGAGAGAGAGAGAGAGAGAGAACGACGACTGGTCATGTATTGTTGTTGCCATCTTCCGTTCGGATAGTGTGGCGCAGTATCTCGGCGCGAGACTACAGAGTGCACGAAGGAAAGGTGTATTCAACTTCTGCAGTATCAACCCAACAAAAGTAACCTAATGGCGGCACACCAAGACAACTCAACTTTGACAGAGATATTTCGAAAGGGCTGCTGTTGGATACCAAGAGAAACAGCAGTATCGAAAGGGCTGCGCGGTGTTTAGTTTCGGCGAATTGTGTCATTATTTTGTCTGATACGCACCTGTGCTCTGGAGGACTTGGCCAGGACCTCTACAAAAGTGGTGTTTTTGTCTACGGAGATGATAGGGATGATGGGCCCAGCAGCAGTCCGGTCCCGAGGACAATGCCACAAGGGCAAACGAATGTTTCGGGAAAGGGCGGGTAATAGTCCTTGAGTCGATAGCAGGAAGGTTGAGATCACGATCGACATCATCGTAGATAACACCATTGATATATGTGTCGTGAGCACATGGTTCTAGTAGGCGTCTGGCAAGAGCCATCCCATCCTCTTCGTGGCATGTCGAAGCATCAAGACAACACCTGGATTACGTCTCTTTTGGGAATAAAAACCAGCATTGCAGTATCAGCGAGACCTGGATCACGGTGCAAGCGGCACAGGCCGGTGGTCGATATGACCGGAGCTCTCTACCTCAAGATCCACTCCTAATGTTTTTCAGGAAACCCGTAATACCGAACGGTGCAGATGAATTTAGTCAGCCTCCCCTAGGAAACGAGAAGTTGCGATGAGTGTGAAGAAACAATGTGTGATGTTTGACCCCCGATCAGTAGATCCATCCATGCCTACTTCATCTCGTGAACTGATCAACTAGGAGCGGGCGAATACTTATTTCTCCCACAAAAAGCCAAACAACAAATATATGGACTACGACGACGACAACATCAACAACAACAACAACAACAATCCTCCTGGTCCATCCCCCTGATCCCTACCGTCGGTGTCATGCAGTGTTTCCGCCTGTGCCTCCGCCACTTCCGGGTCTCCCTCCTCGGCGGACTCGTCTCTCTCTCCCTTCAGCAGCATCAGGAGGAGGTCCCGGAAAGCCCCTGACATCTCGGAGCTGATCTGAGACTCCGACATCGGCGTGGGTGGGGAGGGAACGGAGTTAGGACGAGGGTGACCACGATTTGGTATTTTCCAGAGGAACAGATATACGTACCAACGCGAAGAAAGCCGAGCAATGGTAGTGTCGTCGGGGATGCGTGAAAAGGAAACCACTTACGAAGTACTAACAAAGCCAGAAGTACACCAAGGACAACGGCAACGAAAAGCTGGGGGGAGATAGGGGGGGGCGACATGGTGGTGGTGATGATCCCCTTGATGTTGATGGAGGGGAGGGGGGCTCCTTCGAGCTTCTACCACAGACAATCAATTGGAAAGGGTGACTTCACAGGCCACGGGAAGTGAAGCCACTGTCTTATCCCACACTAAAGGGGAAGAATAAACGGTCACGGAGATGTTGTTATACTTTAAGACCGCTCCGGGAAATGTTCCAATTTCCAGGAATGTTCGCACACAAAAGCACACGCATCACGAGGACGCTCCTCTTCCCCACCTCTTTTGGCAACCAAGTGCCGACACGGCAAAGAGGGGGACAGAGAGGGAGTACGTTTAAAGAAATCCGTTTCAGAACGCTGCGTTGACCACTCTTCTTGCATGTTGTCCCTCAGGCAAACGCGCCCACAAATGCAACGTTTTGAACAATGGAAACCTCCACAAGTTGCTGTCTGTCACGAGGCCCGCATTCAATCCATTCGCCTGCAATGAACTCGGGAAGTGATCCTGTTATCATTTTGAAACGCGTCCTTTATATTTTCTTTGCCGATTCAAGGCGTGGTATCAGCAGCGTGGTATCAGCGTGTTGTAGGTAACGTCTGTCAAATCAGTGACGATTCAGTGTTATAATAGTCAACAGTTCCAAAAGGCACCTTGTCGACGAGGCTCTCGTCGTAACGGCCTTCGTAGTAAGTCTGCGCCGCGGCGATGGCCGCGTTGTCCCTTGTGGTGAGTAGCATGATCATGATGTCTTCGTCTGTGCCGATACCGGCCCTGGGAACAGCAGTTTTACAGGGGATGGATCGCTTTTCCGTCGCGTCGAGAAACGAGTACGAAAGCTCAGCCTCGTTTCCGTTTCCTAGTCCAGTTGCGCTCAAGTCGACTCGAGAAATAGGTTATCTTTCGCAAACAAGAAAAAAACACACCGCACCGCACGATATTTCCTTGGTTCCAAAAGCATTGTGCGGTTTCGTCCAATAATATTTCCATTATTGCGTAGAGCTGCGTCGCGGAATGTTTACAAATGGTGTATCCGTTTTGGTTGAATGGTGCGTCGTGTCACCATTTCCCTCTCATGGCTTCCTCACCCGTCTCCTTCACGGGTTTTTCCGCGTCCTACCCCCAACACTCGCACGGGTTTAAGATGCTCGTGTGCCATGATGGCATCTCGTCTATAACGCGAGCTCTCTTTTCCCTCACAAGCTTCTTGTTGATCTTTTGTCTACCCTATTTTGAATTCCCGCGCCACTCTGTTAAAAGGGTGTGATTGTTCGTTGAACTCTTCTGCTTCCCGTCCATCTCAAAGTCTAGATGTGGCCTCTTTGTTTCTCACATTGCCGTCTTCATGAGGAGAGCATCGAATTCCTGCGTTTCCATCTGCGTGTAGACCATGAATGTCTTGAGGTCGCCGCTTAGATCTTTCTCCAGTTGCTCCCTCAGGGTCATTCCGAACATCATGCGGTACATCTGCAGTCAGCGTGGGGCCGTACAATTTCAGAATTTCGATAGCGATGATAATGATGATGTTGTTGTGGGTGTCTCTGCTGGTGTTATTTGTGCCGCTGGTGCTGATGCTGCTGTCGTCACTGTCGAATCATCGTTCTGATCTCTGCTCGTAGTTGTTCGGATGAAGATAAGACATCCGAGCTAGGCTACAGGCTGAAACAAGAAAATGCCAGAAAATTTCCTTCCGTTTCCTTGGTGGGCATTCTTGAATGTCCCGCGGTTCGCATCACGTACAAAGGTTGCTGCACATGGAGGCGTTCTTCGTGCACGGAGAAATCATTACTGTACCTATGGAGTAAGAGAATGGAGAGGGTTGGATTAGTTTCCCAGCGAACCAAGAGCCTTTCGCGCGGAATGGAGCCAACGGACCACTTGTGCGTTTTCATCAACCTATTGTACGAGTTTATTATTAACCATCGATGACCGGGGTTGCCACGAACAAAACCACTTTTGATCTTTGGAGATTTACGACAAGGGAGAGGGGAAGTTGTCCATCCGGTCGCGAAAACATGGCTGCAGAAAAGGATGGGGCATGTCAAAACCCGAATCCTACGGACAAGACCAAGACCAATGGATCATGAAAACGTCGAACTCGCCTCGTCGATCCTCTCCACCTGACTCTTCGTCCTGGTGCAGATGATGTCGATCACGCGGCCCTCGTTCGTACCCATCCCTTTGCACGCACGCCGTATCTGTCGTTGTTGTTTGTCGTTATCGTGGTTGTTGTTGTTGGTGGTGGCGGTGATCGTCGTCATGGTGGAACAAAAGCGTAGTATGTACGCCGGATTGTCACAGAAGGCGAGGCGGTGGAATGCCGTGTGGGGGAAGCACAAAAGGTCGAACTGATGCTCCGTTTCGTCGGTGACGAGTAGCGATGGTGGATGAGGGTCGTACCACGTTCGATTCGAGTGGACGATGTAGGCTTGCAAATATCAAGCAACCTGTCCTCATCACACCTGTTCCGCGTCAACCTTTGCGATGTAGGTCTTCATTGCGTCATTCTCTTCTTCCAGCAGCATCAACCGCTTCTCGTCTTGATCCGCCCCCTCAGGCAGATCGACGAGTTGCTACTCGGGCGCACGTGGTATTGAGCACGTTGATTCGATGTTATTTTTGTAGGTGGTTTTTGCGATGTGTATGAATCTGGGGCAGAAAATGTTTGAAGAAACAGACGCGGTTGTTATAGTGTCTCGCAATTTCGTGAGCTTGGCGGACAATCTGCAATGCTTTGGTTATCTTCCTCGGACGAGGGACTTGACGATTTTGTAGCCTCTCCATGCATGCACAGTCGGCGCACGATTGTGTGTGTGCAACACGAGGGTTGTGACCGAACAAGAGACAAAAAGCCAAAATACATGCATGCCCGCTACTCGTCGAGGATACGATCTGTGAGCAGAAGATCCCGCCCTCTTCGTCGGAACAACAAGCCCACTTGTTGTATCAACGGAACGAACTATATAGAGATAGCACAGAGGGAATGCTAGCTAGAGTACACAAAGAGCTGCCAGACTTCAAAGCCATTCGGCCAACGAAGAGAGGAACCTCCCTGCGTCCGTCGTCACTCGCAACTGTTCGTACAGAGCAAACGGAAAACGTCTTGATCTCAAAGTTGGTGGCACTGATGTTGAGGGCGAAGTTGATGTTGAAGATACTGCAAAGCGCACCTGTTCTACCCCAGAGGTGGGGTCGGCGGTTGCGTCCACCCAGAGCGAGACGGCGATCTGAAAATTCCCCCGGAGCTCGGACAAAGCCATGTCGTGAAGGGTCATGTCGTACTTCTCGATGAACCTTGAACATGAGTGTGAACACGAGTGCCACATAGTGTTGGTTTTGGGGATAAGAGTCGTTCGGTTTGCTTCCAGTCTCGTTGGTGGTTTATCGTCCCTGTTGTGTTCGTGCTCACAACGCAACACCGCTCTGATCCCCGCCAAGAACGTATATCTTCCGAACTATGCTACCCAATCGGGAACAAACGGACTCCCATGACCACGCTTGGTAGCATAAAAGAGATGAAGGAGATGGTTCCTGCAGGGGATGAGGTGATTGTTTTACATTGCAGTAGAGGAGCACCTTGTGGAGTTTCTTCGAAAAAACTCAAATTTGGGCACGCTCCCTTTGCACATCCTTGGGAAGAATTCTCCAACCCCATACATACAACGCCGCACACGAGGGACGACATGTAACTGCTTTTTATTTGCACCGTTGGGGGGGTACACACAGGGGTGGTGGTTGGTGTCCTACGGAGTGGAAGTAATCCGCTGCGTTTCTTCCTCCTTCTCAGTACCGAGGACAACATGTTTTCACCAATCGCCGCTTGCTGACACTTCTTCGCACCTTTCAGAGATGATAGACAGCCGTCCCTTGTCGTTGCCTCCCAAAACGCGGCAAATGGCCGCCTGTGTTGAAACCGAAACAATAAGTAAACCTTTCAATGTCTGATTGACGCCTGTAGCAAAATTCGTCCGACATGGTCAAGATAGCAACACAGCCTACCAATCACCTTTAACATGCAGATTGAAGCACAATTGCGAAACACACGTTTTTAAGGAGGACCCGATTCGCAGGGTGTCCGTCGACTGACTGTTACCAGAATCGGTACACCTCCGCATATGGCGTCAGCGGCAGGATACTGGTTCGAATCTCATTCGGTGAACACTTTTTCTCCTGACGTGGACATTTTCCCATGGACACAATGTGCGTCAGTCCTGAGAACACCTCTTGGAGTCGATCCTACGAGGAACCTTGCGACGCTTCCATCGAATTACCCATCCTGGCCACAAGAGGTTCCCAGTTGAGGGAATATTCTGTGGGTAGAGAGTGTTAAGGAGGACCAGACTTGCAGGGTATCCGTCGATTGACTTTTACCAGAATCGGTACACCTCCGCATTTACACGAAAATACAGTGGCTCACTCGCGTCAGAAGTGCGGCTTTTGATTGGTATCGTCAAATAGTTTATCATCACGGGCCTTCCTTTCAGATGGATGAGATCGGAGGTACAGGTGTTGTACGACAAAGACACCACTACAAAACGTTGACGGGGGGGGGGGGGGGGGGGGGGGGG